AGGATTACAGGCTTGAGCCACCAGCGCCCAGCTTTATCCAGTTATCTTAATCCATCAAGAGTTCTGCAGCAATTGAAGAACTAAAAATCCAAACAGTAACAACAGAAGTCTCTGATTCTATGGTCTATACCTGCTTAGCTCCTGTCCTTGCAGATGAAGTGGATGCTGCTGGTAATGGCCAAAGACTTCAAATACAATAGGCTTGGTTTTGATATAATCCACAAATGACTCAGTGACTTCCACTGCAATCTAATGAGAAATAATGCCAAATGAGATTATGGAAAGATTTATTACAAAAAAAGTTCCTACTTTGCTTTTGTCAGAACTTTAGCACTTTTAAAAAAGTTGTTTTTTTTTTTTAAATTCTAAAGGTGATTTTCAGAGGGGTTACAGTTACATCAGTCATGTAAAGAGTACTTTTTATGTTGTTGTTGGTTGTTGGTTGTGGGGTTTGAACTCAGGGCCTGGGCGTGGTCCCTGAGCTCTTCAGCTCAAGGCTAGTGCTCAACCACTTTGAACCACAGCACCACTTCCCATTTTCTGTTGGTTAACTGGAGATAAGTCTCATGGCTGTTCCTGCCCAGGCTGGCTTTGAACAGCAATCCTTAGATCTTAGCCTCTTGAGTAGCTATGATTACAGGTGTGAGCTACTGGTGCCTGGTGAGAGTTCATTTCTTTTTAGACAATGTCATCCCTTCTCTGATGCTCTCTCTCAGTTAACTTTAGCACCCTTACACATCCTGTCTGTAGTGAGTGTTGTTACATAGTCCTCTTGCACCAAAGGATGAGCTCTCCTTTTCATTCTACAACTCTCTTCCCCACTGGGATAGTGTGGAGATGGAACCCAGGACCTCACACTTGCTAGGCAAGCATTCTACTACTAGAGCTAGTAAGTCCCTAGCTATCCCCCTCCTGTTATTGCAGTATTGAGGTTTGAACTCAGGACCTTCTGCTTACTAAGCTGGTATTCTACCATTTGAGTCATGCCTCTATCTCAGCTTTCTTCTGGTTATTTTTTGGAGATGTAATGTCACCAACTTTTCTGCCTGGACTGGCCTTCAACCTCAATTCTTCAGATCTCCTGAACAGCTAGGATTATAAATCAACATTGCTTGTTCCCACTCCCTGCCTTTTTTTGTTGTTGGTCTTGGGCCTTGAACTCAGGGCCTAAGTGTTTATCCCTGAGCTCCTTCACTCATGGCTAGTGCTCTACCACTTTGAGCCACAGCACCACTTCCAGTTTTCTAGTGGTTAAATGAAGATCAGAGTCTCACAGACTTTCCAGCCCGGGCTGGATTTGAACCAAGATCCTCAGATCTCAGCCTCTTGGGTAAATAGGATTACAGGCATGAGACACAAGTGCCTGTCTCCCTTTTGTTTTGATTTTGGTTTTGAGATAGGGTCTGGGTAACTTTGCTCAAGCTGGCAGAGAACTCAAGAACCCCCTGCCTCCACCTCCCAGACAACTGGGATAACACCATGCCCAACGCGCTTCTCATTCTAAAGTAACGTTACTAGGCTTCAGGCCTTCAAAACTGCCCACAATGTGCCCCCATTGACTCAGCCCTGCTGCCTTTCACACACAGTTTCAGTGCAGCTGAACTTGCCTGCTGCTCTTCTGCCTGCTTTTTTCTTTTCTTGTACTCCAACCCTGCCAGAGGCCCTCCCATATCTCCATGCATCTAAGTCATTCCTATACTAAATGCCCATCTCAAATAGTAGTAACAATAAGAAAAGTAGCCAGGTGCTGGTGGCTCACACCTGTAAACTTAGCTACTCAGAAAGCTGAGATCTAGGGGCTGGGAAGATGACTGAGTGGTAGAGTGCTTACCTTGCATGCATGAGGCCCTGGTTCGATTTCTCAGCACCACACAAGCAAAAAGAAAAAAGCCGGAAGTGGTGCTGTTGCTCAAGTGGTAGAGCGCTAGCCTTGAGCTGAAGAGCTGATGGACAGCACCCAGGCCCAGAGTTCAGGCCCCACAACCGGACCAAAAAAAAAAAAAAGAAAAAAAAAAGAAAGCTGAGATCTGAGTACTGAGGTTCAAAGCCAGTCTGGGCAGAAGAGTCCATTAACTCTTAGGTCCAGTTAACTACCACAAAGCCACAAGTGGAGCTGTGTGGCTCAAGTGGTAGAGGGCTAGTCTCAAGCTAAAAAGCTCAGGGACAGTGATCAGGCCCTGAGTTCAAGCCCCAGGACTGTCACAAAAACAAACAAACAAAAAAACAGAAAGGGAAAAAAAAGTATTGAGTGTAGAGTGTCAGGTATAATGCCAAGTTTGACACATTTTTTATTATTATTCTATATCCTTCAGAAAACTGACCTTTCTCCACCCAACCACCCCCAACCAGCTAAAAAATTAATTATCTCTCCATATGAAAATAATTTCTCTTTCTCCACTCCCACTGCATCCTGAATGTTTTTCTCATGTTTTCCATGTTATATCTCTCTTATCATAATTCTAAGCACCTTGGGGGGCACCCAAGGTACAGCTGCATCCCCAAACATGTCGAGCACGCCTTGTGCACAACTGCTGATGAATATTTATTAGATTCATGCATGTTCACATTATACAAATACCAAGAGTGAGAGGTGATTTCATGAGAAGTGGGGACCCTGGACTCAAGGGCCACATTTCTCTGTGTTTAAATGGATCTCTACCTTGTCCCTAGCTTGGCTGCCCTCTGAGTGACGTTAGTTACTCACTGCCTCCGTTACCTCAGCAATAATATAAGGATCATTAGAGTCTATGGTGTGAGGGAAGCATTAAATGCAAAGAAAAATTTCCAATTAAATCCATCAACATTAGCCATTGTAACAAACGTGGAGAATTTTTTTTTCTTTCTTTCTTTTTTTTTTTTTTTTTGGGTCTGGTTGTGGAGCCTAAACTCTGGGCCTGGGTGCTGTCCCTCAGCTCTTCAGCTCAAGGCTAGTGCTCTACCACTTGAGCCACAGCACCACTTCCTTTTTTCTTTTTTGCTTATGTGGTGCTGAGGAATCGAACTCAGGGCCTCATGCATGCAAGGCAAGCGCTCTACCACTGAGCCACCTTCCTAGACCACGTGGTGAATTTTCCGAATTGAGTTTTAGTGAAATTTTATCTTAGAGACAAAGACAGCTGTAAGGGCATTCCTCACAGCATTAGCTCCAAGGAAAACAGACTGGAATTTAAGTTGGCTATAAAAGGTATTTAATAAGTTCTGCTTTATTTGCATTCAAAATAACATAATTATCCTAGATTTAAATGACAGCATATTAACTTTAACAAAAGTGATAGTAAACATGTTTTATTTTTCTAGGGCCAAAGCATTAAAACAATGCATTCATACATTCAAAGTGATGGAAGATTTCATTCCTGGGCCAGCTGTGCACCACTGTAATTCAGCGTCTGCTGCGGATGACCTCACCACCCAGGCACGAGCCCCTCCCTCCATTGTCTTCTCCACTAGCTCCCTCCCGCACAAGGCAGCTGGGCCTCGCTATCTTTCCTCCGCCAAGAAAGCCAAACTACCACAAACCCCAATGTGTCTGACAAAAACGTCCAGGTTACTCACATTCTGCACATGATAAAAGCCCAGGGGACTTCCTCTGCCATTGTTCTTGAGGGGTTCAGTGGAGAATGCTTCATCATGGCGATGCAAAAAACTTAATAAAAAGGTAAGACAAGCTGGATTACATGTTTTCATTTGGATTCTGTTACGAGAGCCTGCCTTGCATCCAGTGGTAAGAAGCATCCCACTTAAGCAGGTTTTTTTTTTTTTTTTTTTTTGCCAGTTCTGGGGCTTGAACTCTGGGCCTTAACACTGTCCCTGAGAGCCTCTTTTGCTCAAGGCTGGTACTCTACCACTTGAGCCAGAGTGCCACTTCTGGCCTTTTCTGTGTATGTGGTACTGAGGAATCGAACCCAGGGCTTCATGCATGCTAGGCAAGCACTCTGCCACTAAGCCATATTCTCATGTGGCTCTCATGTTTTTCATCTTTCTTTCCTAAGAGCATTCCCATCACTTACATGTAAAGCACTCTAGAGCCCAAATGACATCTCAGTTAACAGCTAGCTAGGCAGGCAGAACAAAGGAGGGGCTTACTTGAATTGACAGAAGATGTCTGCATACTCTGGGAGGATCCCACTGGCCTGTAACACTGTGACTCGGAAAGTGAAGGCACTACCCAGTTTCAGGTGGTTGCCAATCTCTTCAGAAAACCCTTCCATTACCATCTTTCCATCCAGTAAACTGCCTGACTTCAAATCTAAAGAGGGTCAGATGAACATACATTTGGTTTGAAGAATGGAAAAAAGGTGGTGTCGGGCATTCTCCCCATTCCTAGTTGAAGAAAGCAAATTACATCCCTTGACAGTTTCTTCCTCCCCCTCTTTGAGAATGTTCCCGATAGCAGTCATCTCTGTTACTCACCCAAGTCATTCATTCGACTGATTTCTTCTGGAGGAGTGATGACTTCTGAACTCTGACCCTGTCCTTCTACAATCCTTAGCTCCTCCAAGGACAGACCTGAACGCGTCATTGCAACTGAAGAAAAGTCACTCTGGAAGTGAGGCAGAGGTAGGTTTAGAAGGAAGCAGTATAAATGCGCCCCCCCACACACACCATTTCCTTGTTTATTTCCCTAACAAATAAGTGACTAGAAGATGATGTGGATTAAAGAGCTGTCTGGGAAAAGGCAGCATGCAAACATGCACACATTGGATTTGTACTGGTATGTCCTGTACCTTACTCAACAACTCTGGGCTTACCAGCATCCTGCTTAGAGCTCTAGGCAGGGAAACTGGCTTCCAATGCAAAAACTTCCTCACACACCCATCTACTTCTCTCCCTTTCCTCATGGCCCTCCTTCCTAAAGATTTCTCACCTCATTAAAGTATTCATTATCAAAAGATATTTTAGCCGTCCCTGACTGTCGAATTCCAGAGCCATAATCAGGAGCTTCTTCATCCGCTAAGTAGAAAAAAACCCAGCGCACATTAAATGACAGTATACATGTGAGGAGAGGATTACAGAATATAAACAGGAAAGTCCTTTTACATAAAAACAATTACAATGGCTACAAACACCTCTGTTCATGTACATTTATCATCTTCTTAGCTTAAAGAGAACTGTTTAGAACTTTACAACTTTGGTGGGGGGGAGGATGGGAAGGGATGGGAAGGGGAAACAAAGGAGGAGGCTACAATGCTTGATAAGAAATGTACTCATTATCTTGCCCATGTAATTGTA